GGCAGGGGCGGGAAGGGTACCGAGCAGCGAGCACCGAGGGCGGCAGGCTGAGGCCGTGGGAGGTAGAGGGTAGAGCAGCGCGAATGCAAATATTCGCAGCGACAGAGATTGAAACAATCCGCCAATTAGAATCGTCGACGCGAACGGGATTATGCAGATTCGCGCCGCCCGCCCGGTGGCGAACGGGACTGGCAGCTGCCGCAGCGCGAGCGAGCTTAATTCAATCCGCCGAGTTGTCTTATGAATCGTAAACCGGCCTTCCCTCGCGCGTCACTCCGCGCCGCGTGAAATCGAGATCGTCAGGATCTCATGGTCTCTCATAGTCTCCACTGCACGGCGACGACACAGTGACGACAGTGACGACGCGTCGTCGACGTCGGAATGATCCGCGTCTTCCATCGCCTCGCTGATCGCCTCGAGCGGAATAATAATATAACGCCCCCCGCCGTCTCTCCCTCACTCCCTAGTAAAGTCTCTTTACGATCTTTGGAATAGCTCTCCAGCCGGTACCATTTTCCCTTAAACGAGTATCCGCACGAGAAAAAAATCGTCGATGCTCCCAAGGATTTCCTCTTACAGATTTCCTTCAGGCGAACGCTTCATCTTGTTAGCCCTTTGGGAAATTGAAAATGTCCGAAAAAATGCCATCTCATTTTTTTTTTTCATTTTTTTAAATTTTTTTTAAGGACAATAATAGTAATAAATTAACAAAAATTTTAATTTCAATAATCAGAATTTTATTAATAACTTGAATTTTATAATTCGGGATTTTATAAGAGTAGAATTTTTGATAAGTAAAAAGAAACCCAATCTTGTCATCGCAGTTATAACTTTGACATGCATCGCGCAATGTACGGATGAGCGGAATTATGGCGGCGGCAGCGGCTGTGGCTGTGGCAACGGGTATTTATCACGAAGAGTAAAACTGACAGCAGTCCATTTCCCGTTCGTCCTGCCTGTCTGGCTGAACATAATATCTCCTGACGAAACAACGTGGACGCCGTTTGTTTGGGAAACAATGGACCGAAACAATGCCCGAT